GTACAGAGTAGGAGGCAAACCCTAGATTGATTTTCGCATATCCTGCGTGAAGACGGCGGGTCGGTTTATATAGAGAAGGGTCGCTTGATCAGGGCGCCCGCACGATCTCTACTGCGCGTAACCGAACCGGATAAGTCGCGCGTAACTTATCCGGACTCCACGCCGTTTGCACGCACCGGATTTTTCGGAACGTTTCCAAAACAAAAACGAATCCGAATTTGCAGCAAAACAAAACTGCAAAAGGAGGCTGCATCTGCGCAAGGGTGAGGAGCCAATTTTGCAGACCATTCGACGCCAATTTTGCCAATTTTTCGGACCATTCGACGCGTACGTCGTGCACACGCGCCGCCTAGCAGGCCAGGCCAGGCGAGCGAGCGTGCGCGCGTGTTTCCCCTCTTCTCTCCACCACACATGCTTCAAGTGGCTAGGAGGGCATCCTCCCTTTTAAGGAGGTCCCTCTCTCCTAGAATAAGCAATGTGGTACTAAACTCCACATGCATGCCATCCCATGAGGTGGGCTTTTGTGATTTTCCAAAGAATTAATCTTCGAGTGGGCTAAGGCCCATTCATTAATTCCAACAAAAAGCACGCCTTAATCAGTAGTAGTACGGGAGAATGACAGTAACAGCGCAGGATCGAATCGAATCTGCCAAAGTAATGGTCCTGCTTGAATTATGAATGCTTATTACTCCCTCTGTTTTATATTTTTAATTATTTAACTTTTTTAGTCAAAATTCTTTAGATTTTTTCAAATTGATAGGAAAAATAGCAGCATCCACTATATCAAATTAGTTTCATTAAATTTAACATTGAATATATTATGATAATATGTTTGTTTTGTATTGATAATATTAGTATATACCTCTATAAACTTGATCAAACTTTAAAATACTAAGAAAAAAAATTAAATTAATGACTTATAATATAAAACGGAAGTAGTTGGTTGTGTTCGATTTTTGTAATTTCCAACGTGTATCGCGTCATTCTAAGTGGTACTCCTCCGTTTCACAATGTAAGACTTTTTAGCATTGGCCACATACATATAGATGCTAATGAATATAAACACATACATATGTCTAGATTCATTAACATCTAAATGAATATGAGCAATGCTAGAAAGTCTTACATTGTGAAACGGAGGAAGTCCGTACTAGTGTGCCCCTATCTGATAAGCATGTGCTAATTCACTCCACTCTATCCTTCAGTGCCATTCTCATGAAAGCAAGTTAAGTTGTCTGGCTTTAGATACACCGGTTATTCCATTGAAAAAAAAGGGTTTGAATAAATTAGGACAAATGGCCGACAGAACGGGATACAAGTGGCAGGCTCGATATCTTTTATTAGTGCGATATAGCAGTGCGGGTAGTACTTGATGACCCTCTTGTCATAAAAATCAAGTTAGTACTGGATGTAACACGTCACAATACAATAAATTTAAACATGACTATGTTCAAATTCGTTTTATTAGGATATGTTACATTCAATTCTAAAGATTTTTTTTTATAAAGGGAGTAGGCCCAAGCCCCAATAAAGATACATGCTCCACAGTGCAAAATACTTTGAGTGGGTCTCGACAACTTGACATAACACTTGACAGGCCGCTTGCTTCACTGCTATTGTACAAGTTCCTCTCTTGCTCTCTACATAATGAAAACAATGAGATCTTCATTTGCTGTCTCCTTTCAGAATTCAGAATGAAGATCAAAATTTCAGAATCCAGAATGTTTAGGTACGATAACGTGTTTTGTCCATCATATACACCTAATTAACGCAAACAAACACCGGCACTGGGATTATCTTTGCCTAGCCAGGGCCCAGGAGTATAAAATAGTGCACCACATATGCCATAATGAAAAGGTTAGGAAAAGAAATACTACTAGAAGATGGAAAAGATAAGAGAGTCGATGCAACGCTGGTGATGATGATGCGATAAGACACGATGACAAATCATATCCTAAACCCGTGGAGTTCCGGGCCTCCGGGGCTCTGGCCGCCTGTGGCCCTGTGCACCGCACCACATCCCAATGTCGCGGATTGCCGGATGCGTGGGTCGGATACTCGGATTCCTTGCGGATAAAGCGGCCGCCACGCCCGGCTCCACGTGTTTTCCGCCGCGCGATGCTTCGGGGCTTTTGCGTCCGCGGTGAGTTCCAAAGTTTCATCGTCGTACCCAAGCTGCCCACCACCCAAGCCCACAGCTGCAATTTGAACAGTTTAGATTCCAACATTTTTTTTCAAAAACTTCAAACTTCTCCATTATATCAAATATTTGGATATATGCATGGAACATTAAATGTGACAGAAAAAAAATAATTACACAATTTGCATATAAATTTCAAGATGAAGTTTTTAAGCCTAATTACGCCATGATTAACTATAAGTGCTACAGTAACTCATATTTGCTAATGACGGATTAATTAGGCTCAAAAGATTCGTCTTGCAGTTTACAGTCCAAATTTGTAATTTATTTTATTATTAATCTACGTTTAATAATTCAAATGTGTGTCCGTATACTTAAAAAAATTTTAACACCGAACTCAGTCTTAAAATGTACTACAGTAGCTATTTCTAGCTCAATGTCCTGTCAAAATGAAATTATTTCTCCACCTACTTGATTATCTCAACCAATAATAACTATTCTTCTTCACCTACTTTATCTTTTTAACCAATTACACACTTCCTCCAATCATTCTCACATACTTTTTTTAATACTCATGCCAACCTCAAAAATAACTACATTTTGAAACGGACGAAGTAATCTTTGGCTTCCTCAAAATTTAACTTTGTTAATTGGACTTTAAAATTTTAAAGCTATAAAATCTTAATAATGGTTTATTTGGCAGTTAGCACAGCTCCACCTCTAGCTCTACCTCTCTTGAAGTTGGAGCTTAAATAAATAATTTCAGATCACAACTCCACTTTAGACCTGACTCCTGAATCTAAATTTAGAAGTATCATCTCCGTTTACACGTGCTCTTTTTGTCACAGATATTAGTAAATGTTTAATCCATGCAAGGCTCCAAATTTTGTAAGAACTGGATGATTAGGCAGCCCTGGAGATCTGATCTGACTGATCACTGAACCTGTTAATGCCTGTGCGCATCATGCACACACCCGTGTATTTTTATTAGTTTTTTGATAAAACACACCCATGTATTTGGAAAAGAGTAGTACAAAGCAATTTTGCCTTGTTGACAAGCGAGGTTTAGTCAAAACGCTTGGCACCAAGGGATGGGTTTATGGATTGATCGCCATCCATCCACCTACTAGATAACTACAATTGGTCAATGCAGCATCCAAATTCATGTTGGCTTTCATATGCCGTCTTTTCCATCCAAATTTGGAAACGATTCAAGGCCTCATTTGAAATTTGAGCTAACAAGATAGATGATGATTCTGTGGTTCAGAACTGCCCTGACATAGAAGTTTAGAACTCTGCCTTTTCTACAGGCTTATATGATGTGCCAAAGTTAGCATGGTAGCCAATTTAGACTAAACCTGACCAGTAGTAGTCACGACCTCACGGGGGTAGGAGGCCTGTAGTGATCGAGCTTGGTTCATTGAACTTGCCCGTCTTTTCACCGTGACAAAGTGCACTGGACCTATAGGTGTACGCACGTTCCCTGTGACTTCCTATGGATTTTGAGAGGTCTCAAAAGGAGAGAGGACAATCGAACCGGTCCGGTCCCATATATTGCACTATTTTTGCTAGCTGCTCCAAAGGAAGGAGTCGGCGTCATGCATAGTACAGTACCAGGTTGTAAAGCAGGGAGAATCTTCAGGCCCACTTGCCATACACATATTTGCTGATCCATCCGTACGATAAGGATCAATTGCGGGTTTCGTACATTGGCGGACTTTTTATCTCCTACTCCATCCGTGCTAAAAATATATGGAGTTTTGGTTAAAGAGATACATTCTAATATTATGAATCTGAATATGTTATCTGTTTAGATTCGTAGTACTAGAATATACCACATTCAAACAAAACTTTTTATATTTTAGAATGAATGGAGTAGTTGCTAGTATGACGTAAGTGGGTCTCACCTTAAGATTCCTTCAGGAATTATACAGTGGACATGCTCTAGTGGCTAAATTGATCCGTCATGTTGCCATTTCAGGGGAAAAAACACTGCTATAGGTACTTAAAAAAATAAAGTTTCTTGAAAAACTATCTTATAAAGCTCTTGTAGATAATTAGAACAAGTTATCCATCTTTTGATTTAATAAGATAAAAATTACAGAAAATTTAGATTTAACATAGCATGCTACATCAGTATTTGTAAGAGTTTTGAGATTCTTTTTAAGGCTGCGTTCGATCGACCGTTTTGAAGGCAGAATTTTAAGGCACATAAAACGAGAAACCTTATTATCACATAATTAATTAAGCATTAATAATTATAAACTTGAAAATATATTTATTTAAATTTTTTAAACAATTTCTGTACATAAACTTTTTTAAAAAACGTGCTATTTAACAGTTTAAAAAATATACTAACAAAAAAGGGAGAAAGTTGAAGTTTGGAGTTGAGAAAAAGAAATGAGCCTAAGAACAGCTTGTTTCTACTCGAAAAATTCTACTCCAGGAGTACCAACTTACTCCTGTATATCCGCTAGGAATTAAAGTAACATTTTAAAAAATATACTAACGAAAAAGCAGAAAGTTGAAGTTTGGAGTTGAGAAAAAGAAATGAGCCTAAGAACAGCTTGTTTCTACTCGAAAAATTCTACTCCAGGAGTACTCCTGTATATCCGCTAGGAATTAAAGTAATTGAATTACGTTATCTTTCCACGTAAATGCTGCTTGTTTACACTGTTCTAATCTTGTCCCTTCTCCCCCCTGGCCGTAAAAATGGGCCCGGTTCATTGCCCCAGGCTGTCAGTGTCAGCCGTCCGTTCCTCCACGAGCCGCGGACCTAACCGTCACACACCACGTCACAGCGACGCGTCTCCCTTCTTTTCTGGCCGCAGAAGATCCAACCCCCGTCTATAAATTGCCCGCGACTCCTGTTCGACAGACACGCCGCACCCGCTCTCCTGTCTCGAACGTACACACACGCATCCCAAATGGCCCACGTCATGGCCGCCTCCGAGCTCGTCACCGCCACCATCAAGCGCCCCTTCCAGAACGACGACGACAACAGCAGCAACGGCAACGGCAACGCCGACGGGAAGCCCAAGGCGCGGCGCCGGGAGGCCGACCCGGCGGCGGCGCTGGCCGCGGCGCGCCACGAGTTCGGCGAGCACGGCGGGGTGAACATGTCCATCGAGGCGTCGGCGACGTTCACGGTGATGGAGCCGGACACCATGCGCCGCCTCTTCTCCGGGGAGCTCGGCCCGGAGCGCGGCGACCTGTACATCTACAGCCGCCACTTCAACCCGACGGTGCTGGCGCTGGGGCGGCAGATGGCGGCGCTGGAGGGCACCGAGGCCGCGTACTGCACGGCGTCCGGGATGTCCGCCATCTCCTCCGTGCTGATGCAGCTCGTCGGCGCGGGGGGGCACGTGGTGGCGTCGCGGTGCCTGTACGGCGGCACGCACGCGCTGCTGTCCCGGTTCCTGCCGCGCGCGTCCGGGGTGCGCGCAACGTTCGTGGACGCTGACGACGAGGCGGCGGTGCGCGCCGCGGTGCGCCCGGGGGAGACGCGGGTGGTGTACGTGGAGACGATGTCGAACCCGACGCTGGCCGTGGCCGACATCCCGATGCTGGCCCGCGTCGCGCACGACGCCGGCGCCAAGCTGGTGGTGGACAACACGTTCACGCCCATGGTCGTCTCGCCGGCCCGCCTCGGCGCCGACGTCGTCGTCCACAGCGTCTCCAAGTTCATCAGCGGCGGCGCCGACATCATCGCAGGTAAGGACGAATACGCCGGACGCCTTAGCCGTTCTCCATTTTTAGCTATATCATCGTGACGTGTTGCATGCACATACACACGCTTGACACGCTCAATTAAAGAGGCTAGCTCTTACGTTAGCGGCAGTGTACGCGAGCATCAGAGCGCGCGTGCACGATCAGCGTCGTCGTCGTGTACGTCTTTGTCGTGTGCCACTCGTGTATCGCACTGTCACCTACCATGTCGTTCCAAGGTAGCTGGGGCTCAAAGCCGCCCAAACACGTGCCAGCCCCAGGCCTTGGGTGAGGCTTGCGCCGTCATGACTCATACTCACGGGGTCTAGTGGATTAAGCTAAATAAACAATTAATTAATTAATTAATTAATTAATAAGGTGATCGCGACTAGGATACGGACAACGTACCCCTATTTGTTACTCTACGTTTAATTTCCCCCGGAATAGATTAGGATTAATAGAGCACACGTGCGGCAATTAAATCTCGCAGAAGTGCTAATGGTACATAAGAAAAAACATGATGAAGTATGTAGTAGCACGAGTCACGAATTCATCATCATACTAGTAGGAAAAAAATTACTATAAGGTTAATCCATCGAAAAAAAGAAACTACTACTCCTACTAGGTTAAATCTTGGATTCTTGGTAGTAAGAATTTTACCACCCGTCTCACGTGCCGACAACGCGCGAGGCGGAACGGACAAGGCAGTGAGTCAGATTGACGTGGTGGTGACCCATCTAGGTCGGAACCTACTGCCCATTTGGCATGGCTTTGCACTGCACCCACCATGTGTTGCATGTCTGCCAAGCCAAAAGCTACCCATCACCATGGACGGCCCTGGATCGCCGGAGCTAAATGACGGATTTGTTTGCTTTTTTCGCATGCGTCGTACGTCTAGCCAAATCAAATGAATCATTGCCGATGTGTGGCGCTCATTTGCGCCACAGTGTCACCCGTGATTCAATAGCGCATATCATTTACCCCCGATTCGTTGCACCCTGCCTGACCCGGCATGAAAATGGTTAGAAACAATAGCATTATTATATTAGCTTTATGAAATCGGTTTTGATACATCAAGAATTCTCCATATTTGTAACTTTATTTCGACTTCGATGAAATGTTGACAGAAATATATTTTTTTTAAGAAAAATTATAAACGTGTTGAGAATTAAACACGAGACTTCGGTGTTAAAAACACACACTATTACTACTACACTATCAAGTGCATATGATGCTTACGTGCTATAGACACGAAGATCTGTCACAGTAACACATTTGCTCGTGCAGCTGAGCTACGCAAAACAAGCTTGGTTCTCCTAGTTTTTTTTTTAAAAAAAAAGCAACGCAACGCAAGAGATTAATAAGCCTGTGTAAAATGATACTCCCTCCGTCCCATGAAAATTACATTTCTAGCTAATTTAGGACAAAACAGTAGGATTGGAAAATGACCACAATGACCTTATTTAATAAACCCATTGCATGCACACATTCCATATATACAAATGATTAAAAGGAAGTTTGAGAGAATTAACCCATATAATTAGCATACTTAAATTACAAGCTGAGAAAACTTAAGGAAACTTATCTAGATGAATCAATTTGCTGGGCCCCACATGGCTAGAAATACAATTTTTGTGGGATAAAATCTTAGAGCTATAAATGCAATTTTTTTGGGACGGAGGAAGTATATCACACACGCAAGATGTAAAATTTACGTGGATGATTTTGTTTCCAGGGGCGATCTGTGGGCCGGCGAGCCTGGTGAACGCGATGATGGACCTGCAGGAGGGGGCCCTGATGCTGCTGGGCCCGACGATGAACGCCAAGGTGGCCTTCGAGCTCTCGGAGCGCCTCCCGCACCTCCCGCTCCGGATGCAGGAGCACTCGCGGCGCGCCGCCGAGTACGCGTCCCGGATGCGCCGCCTCGGCCTCCGCGTCGCCTACCCGGGCCTCCCCGACCACCCGCACCACGCCCGCCTCCTCGCCATCGCCAACCCGGGCTACGGCGCCGGCGGCATGCTCTGCGTCGACATGGGCACCGAGGACCGCGCCAACCGCCTCATGCACCACCTCCAGAACACCACCCGCTTCGGCCTCATGGCCGTCAGCCTCGGCTACTACGAGACCCTCATGTCGTGCTCCGGCAGCAGCACCAGCAGCGAGATGCCGCCCGAGGACCGCGCTCGCGCCGGCATCTCCCCCGGCCTCGTCCGCATGTCCGTCGGGTACAACGGCACGCTCGAGCAGCGGTGGGCGCAGTTCGAGCGCGCGCTCTCGCTCATGCAGCAGCAGCAGCAGCAGCATCCCGACCGCGACGCCGCCGCCAAGTACTGCAAGGTGTGACGTCACGAGCCCCGCCATTGATGGTGCGCATTAGCGACGATCCGATTTGTTGTATCTGCCCCGTGTTGCTGGTTTGTATATATAGTTTATTATGTAATTACTAGTGCTACCTATAAGTAAGGTTTAAGCTGTTAAACTGAGTACTATCTGATCGCTCTGGTTCAGATAGTTGAATGGCACAGCTAAGCTGCTTGTTCTCTGGGAAACTGAGTGTATTGGAATAAGCTGGTGAAATGTTATATGGACAATGTTTCTGCAGCAACCTTCTTTCTCAGTAAGATTATGGCACTTCGTGCGTGTCACAGTCTATATATATTCTTCAGACTGAAACACTTGGCTGGAATATGTATTTACAGTGATGAATTCTCAATTAGGAGAAATGCACACTTCTAATTCTCTCTCACTGAATTACTGATGGTTGGAGCGATCCTTATATATATGTGTGCTCATGCAGTTTGGAATATGTTCTGGACCATTCTCTTCGGAGACTCCATTGCTGCAGCTTCGAGCTCTGAAACTTCAGCAGGGCTAAGCCTCCAGCCCAGTGCTCCCAAGTTATCCTCGACGTGCCTGACTGTTTTGACACCTGGAATAGGAATTGTGCCCTTGCAGATGCACCAATTTATGGCCACCTGAGTTCAGATCACAGTGTCACCGTCAGTTTTCTTCATGTGTTGCATCTCTGAAGCATTCAGGTATTGCAACGAGCTAAATAAACTTATCACTCATACGATGAAATGTTCCGATAATTTGAAGCCAGATTGGCAAGATCTATGCATGAATCACTTGTTATGCAGGTCATTTTGCTCTTGGAAAGCAATACTTACTTGAGACATGGTCTTCCCCTTCCTTTCTGCAATTCTTTTCAGACAAGTCAGCAGAGATTCCAACCCAGGAAGAATTTGCCGGAACAACACAGACCTGCAGACCAGAGAACAAATGAACTGAATTTCCGTCATCAATTGTCATAAAATTCAGAGAGAAATATTTGTCTGCTTCCTTTGGTCATTAGTCGTTACCTTGGTCCACTTGGAAGGTTAGAAGTAGTATACTTTCCTGTCAGCATTCCTAATCCAAGTGGACTATAAGCAATCAGACGAATGCCCAAAGAATCACACACAGTTTTCAGCTCCATCTGCTCATCCCCCATGCTCAGTAGTGAGAACTGAACCTGCATTCCATGACAATTTCAGTTACAGCTATACTGAATGAGTACAACTGTACAAGATGTATGGGCATTCTGAAGGTACCTGAGCTGAGCTCAATGGAACACCTCTAGATGATAGATGGCTGTGGATCTTCAGAAGCTGCTTGGGCCCATAATTGCTGACGCCGACAGCACGAACCAAACCCTACAAGAAATCCATTTTGCAGTCAAATTTCTAAGAAATCAAGAACGTAAAGGAGGACAATATCTTCATCCAAAGAATCTGTCCGTGTACCTAACTGAGATATGATTTGCCTAACTGAGATATATATGGTTTGTAGAGCTGAATATACAGTTGGGATTCAGAACATTGAACAATGACAATACAATCGGAAGTTTGGTGACCTTTTCATACATCTCAACTAGACCATCCCAAAGAGCACGCTCCTGCAGAGGTGCATAGTTAGCAGTAGACCAATGCAGCTGTCCTATCCCGAGCCGATCAAGCTGCAATCTTTCCAAAGAAGACCTGAAAATTGGCACTGATGTAAGTCACCTAAACGCTAGAGGCCTATAGGTATCAGTTATATGTTCAATATTCAGTTAGCTCTATGTTTTTCAGCACATTCGTGGTTGGTGGATGGAGTAAAAATTTCACGGAACAAGCTGAAATATGGTTCATGTACATTAAGCAAACAAATTGGAAGAATACTTGCAGGCGCTGACAAATTGGCCTGATGTTAGCCGCCAAGGATATGCTGCAAACTTGGTTGCAATGATCACATCATCAGGGGACTTCATCGGCCCTGTCATACAAAAAGGGAAAATGAAGTCATTTCAACTAGACAAACTCCCCCCAAAGAAACACTATCCCATAATTTAAGAAATTATTCTGAATTACTAGCTAGGCTAACCTTCATACTCGCGGATAAATTTACCGAGGAGCCTTTCGCTCTGACCATTCAACCTTCCAGTTCCATAAGAGTCAGCAGTGTCAAAAAGGTTTATGCCATTCTTCAGAGCCAAATTGAAACACTCCTGAAGTTCAGTATCCATGCTTTCTTGATATCCCCAAAGTAGCTGGTTCCCCCAAGCCCATGTTCCAAATCCCATAGGCGAAACAGAAAGGGGACCGACTTTCACCTATATTTATCAACAAAAATATAACCTTCAAAGGATTTCACTGATCAATTATGAATGAAAACTTCATGTACTAGTGATAACATCTAATTCTTCAGAAACTGTAACATGTTATGGTTCATACTTCAGACTGAAACATGAGCACAACAAGATGCACATTTGACAATTTGGCTTAGCATGCCGATCCTACTTGAAACTTTCAGAAAGTCTGAATTTCAATGTGTCAGTTGTTCGACAGAATTTGGTTAGGGGCGAATACAAAGCTTGTTGGGCCAATATCCTGCTCTTGATTTTTCCTCTTGTCAGATAGCATCAACTAATTCTAGTCTACGAACACAATGTCAGTAGCTTTCCAGTCATCTTGAGTAAAATAAGCACAGCCCATGCATGGCAACAACAGCAAACTTGTGCCATGCATCTAGCTCGTTATTTCCAACAGAAATCACACAGCGTGGAACTTTTGGGTTTCCGTGCTCGACTTCGATAAAGAGGAACGAAAGCATCAGTGATAAACATTAACAAATAATTTTCGTTTGATCCATAGCTGGTTACCAAAAAGGAGCAGACTGTCAGTGCTACTAATCTAATCACATTCCTGGTTCTTTGCTAGAGATAGCTCCATGGTAGGGGAGAGAGAGCATGGTCATCGGATCCTTCTTGTGGTTTGTGCTCAAGGAGGCACGAAATCTACGGTCAGTAAAAGTTGTGCACATTCAGACAGAACATGAGGCTTGTACTGGTGCCTCATTTACTTTGCGTTCTTGTTTAATGGCAAAGTTGTAGTACATTTAGCTCATGTCATGTCACAAAATCAGTAAACCTACTGCAGGGCCTCCCGAGCAAAAGCTACTGTGGCTCTGTTCCAGCCTTGAATGTAGTAGCAGTACTGTCTTGAAGAAGAAAAAAAAAAAACTGCAGCTTGAGTTCTACTGTACATGGCTACAAGCTCACCAAAACAGTTTGCCTCCTTAATTAAGAAGACAACACGGTAGAGTTAAGCTTTCACAGCACACGAACTGGCCGTGCAAATCTCCAAGAAGTGCAGCAGAATTTGAACTAGACTAATTTAACTAGTGTAATCATGCAGGTATCAAGAGGGGTTTGTTGCGAATGGGACCTTCTGCCACGGCCAGAAGAGGGGCGGCGCGATGCGCAGCGCGGCGGCAGGCGGCGACGGTCGCCGGAGGAGGCCGCCGCCGGCGGTGCGCGGCTGCGGCGCGAAGGGCATCGCCGGCGCCGCCCTGGTGGTCACCGGCAGAGCCATCGATCGGTGGCCGGAGCCGAGGTCGACGAGGCGCGGAATTTGGGCGGCGCGTTCTCGTCCGTTAAATCTCTTGATAAAAATCCCCTCGTGGCGTTGCGTACTTGCGAGGTGATTCAACGTTTTTGCCGTGCAAAGGTAGGCCCTGTTGGAACCTGGGCTAAAATTGTTCCGGAAGTGCTACTGGGCGATAGCTCGCTCAGAGACCTGTTTCCTTTTCTGGCACTGCATTAATTTTCTATTTTAATAAATTTATGCACCTAAAATTTATACACCTCAAGTTTACACATATAAAGTTTAGAGACCAAAAGTTTATATATCCGATTCAAATTTGAATTCAAATATTTTTTTATATATAGTATTTCTATACATATAAAGTTTATAGACCTAAAGTTTATATATCCGATTCAAATTTAAATTTGAATTCAAATTTTTTTCATATATAGTATTTCTATACATCTAAAGTTTATATACCCGATTCAAATTTGAATTTGAATTATATCCGATTCAAATTTAAATTTGAAATATTTTCTATATATAGTATTTTTATACATCTAAAGTTTATACACCTAAAGTTTATAGACCCAAAATTTATAGGTCAAAAGTTTACATACCCGATTCAAATTTGAATTTGAATTCAAATTTTTTATACATAATTTTTTCTAACTTTTTGTTTTTTTAAAAAAAATTTGTGGTGTCCTGTAATAGAAAAAGAAGGGGAGGAGGAAGGGGAGAAGGGAGCGCCGGGGGGGGGGGGGGGGGGGGCCTCCCAAATTGTTCAGCGAATTAAGGCCCATCCTGCCAGATTGAGTGAGGTTTATTAATTAATCTACTAATAATAATTATTTTTCTTTTTTTTTTTCAAAACACAATAAAATACTAACACCTACGGATTCTTTTAGCGATTAAAAATAAAGAGAAAGCTATAATTCCTCTCAACCTGGGACAGTGGCGGAGCCACCGCTTGGCTAGCCCAGGCAGCTGCTCGGACTCACCGGCAAAACTTCATCAAATTTTAATATTAACTAGTAAACATGTCCGTGCATTGTAACGGGTGAAAAAACCTAATGATAATATATGTTTTCTATGCATAACCATATCGATGATAATTAGAAAATTGGAACATTATATCGATGATAATTAGAAAATTGGAACATTTTAAATGTAATGGACCAACCTCGATGATGGCAATCTTACCGATGTTTGTACCTAAAATAATTGGATTATTCATACAACATGCATATAATCTAAAATATTCTTTTAATCTCATTCTTGCAACCAATAAAATCCTACACTGCTTCGAATGGTCAAGTCTACACAAAATAAAGTCATTGTGCACTCTTGTCTAAATAACAATTAAAATATGTTTATTTTCTAATATTATTTCTATATAATATGTTATCAAGAATAGTAGCTATACTTTACAAAAATAGCCTGATAATTGCTTATAGAGATGTGCAGGGTCTCCAATACAGGAGAATAGATGATGAAATAAAAGCCGTGTAGGAGATGGAAAAAAATCGATATATCCTATCCGACCAAGCGTCCATCAATTTAGTGTTTTTTCTGATAGTTTTTCCTCGTATGCTTTTTTTTACAAACGATGGAAATATTTTTTTTCTCTTAGGACTACGAAAACCTTTTTTTTCTAGCGCATTTTCTTTTGCGCTTTTTCCTGACATTTTTTCCTCACTCGTTCTTTTTAAACCGTTTTTATTTTCTCGCACATTTTTTGTTTTTAATATACGATGGAAACTTCTCTTTTTAAATAGTTAGATTAGATTAGATTAGAGATAGAGAAGAGATATACACACACTACTAAAACAACGAATAGAAATTAGACTTTTTTTGCCGCGCTTTTTTCTGCCCTTTTTTTCTCGTGCGTTTTTCTACGAACGCTTTTTCGCCACTTTCTTATAGAGTCGGACCTTTCTTTTTGGATTTTTTTTGTTTTCGCTTTATAGGAATCGGATTTTTTTTCCATTGTGGGAATCGGATCTACGTTTCTTTTTCTTTTTTTTGCCAGAAAACGGATTTTTTTTTGTTTTTTCCCGTTTTAGGTGGGAATCGTATTTTTTTAATCTACGTTTCTTTTTTGTTTTTTCGCCAGGTATCGGATTTTTTTTTGTATTTTCCCGTTTTAGGTGGGAATCGGATCTTTTTTTTTTGCCAGGGAATCGGATTTTTTAGGTTGTTTTTTCGCTGTTTTTTTTTAATTTTGACGAACGACGGAAACGTGTTAAATTTTTTAAGTAAATAGAGAAGAGATATGGTTTAGTTAAGATGAAATTTACTATGTGAGTTCATTTGGATATACATATATTTTTAGAAAATCATGAGCTATAGTTAGGAGTCTGATTGTCTCAAGTTAGCATACGAGTTTTTTTAAACAGATTTCTTATATGATTCCTTCTATATTACCAAAAGTGAACGATCTTAAAAACCGCCTCAAATACGGATATGTATTTCGAAAAGCAATCGAATTTAAAAACTGACTCATACACAGATAACGTACCAAAATACCGGCAAAAACATCTTATTATTTTTATAATAATAGAGATAGAGATGAGTAAATTCATGGTAAAATTTTTATAGTAAGGCAGTGTTTAGTTCCCTGCAAACTTCCAAAAATTCCGTCACATTAAATGTTTGGACACATGCATGGAACATTAAATATGGACGAAAAAACAATTGCACAGTTTACATGTAAATTGCGAGATAAATATTTTGAGCCTAATTACGCTATGATTTAATAATGTGATGTTACAGTAAACATTTGCTAATGATGGATTAATTAGGCTTAATAAATTTATATCACAGTTTATAGGTGAAATCTGTAATTTGTTTTATTATTAGCATATGTTTAATACTTCAAATGTGCGTCCGTATACTTTTAAAAAAAATTGACACACATCTAAACACGGCCCTAGATACTAGTATGGCTAGGCCCAAAAATCTTTCCGTCACTGCCTGGAATCCACGCACAGGATAGCATACAGGCGCCTCCAACTTAGCATAACGAAGTCAAAACGAGGGGTGGGTTGTCAAGGTTGGGTGAAAACTTAGGCTGTGTTTAGATCTAAACTTTGGATCCAAAGTTTTAACTTTTTCCATCACATCAACCTGTCATACACACAAATTTTCAGTCACATAGTACCAATTTCAACCCAAACTTCCAACTTTAAAAGAAACTAAACACAGCCTTAATAGAGAGATGGTTGTGTGGGGGAAATAGCTGCAACTAGTTGTACTGATCAGGCCAAGCCCAATACTATAGACGTGCTTATATTTACTATAAACAAAATTTAAACACTATTGAGTACTGTAGTTGGTGAATCTTGCAGCAAACAATATATGAACCGTACGGGGGGTGTGAGAGTGACTGTGACTGTGTGTGAACAGGACGAGGAATCGGGCTGAATGGCCTCCCCATTACTGACCGGTTGGTGCCACCGGTGGCGACGTACTGCCCACTTTTACTACCCCCATTTCCACCGGCGCAGAGGACCGTCGTCATCTCGCCTCCACACCACATTGATCTCCGTGCAGGCGGCCGCAGCGTCCCTCCGTCCGTCCCCGTGTACATGTGGCCGGTGACGACGAGTCATCCCAATTTATGGGCGCGCAGGTGGTGGCATTTGCATAGTCTCCGTCTATAATAAGGTGTGTTTAGTTCACGTTAAAATTAGAAGTTTTATTGAACTTGAAACAATGTGACGGAAAAGTTGAAAGTTTATGTGTGTAGGAAAGTTTTGATGTGATGAAAAAGTTGGAAGTTTGAAGAAAAATTTTAGAACTAAACTCGGCCATAGTTGTCAGTTTGATTTTTTTTCTTATAATGTTTGACCATTCATTTTATTTAAAAAATTAGTGCAAATATAAAAAATATAATTCGTACTTAAAGTAATTTTGATAATAAAGCAAATCATAAATAAAATAAATAATAATTTAAATATTTTATAAATAAGACAAATGATCAAACATTACAAATAAAAACTCAAAGCGACAAGTAATATGAGAGGGAGGTAGTATATCTGAGGGGGTTTAGACCTAGGAGTGTAAAATTTTAGCGTATCATATCGGATATTATATAGGTGTCGGATGGGTTGTTCGGACACTAATAAAAAAAACTAATTACAGAATGTCCGTAAACCGTGAGATGAATTTATTAAGCCTAATTAATTCATTATTAACAAATGTTTACTGTATCACCATATTGTCAAACATAGAGCAATTAGTTTTAAAAGATTCGTCTAGCAAATTAGTCGCAATCTATGCAATTAGTTATTTTTAAATATATATTTAATACTTCATGCAGGTGTTTAAACGTTTGATGTGATATGGTGTAAAGTTTTACGATGGGATCTAAATAGAGCCTGAGTAAAAATTTCCATAGCATTTGCAGTTTCGCATAGTCGAATCTGGGCAGTAAAAAATTACTAAAAAATTCCACACACACGCACCACGGCTGCTCGCGGTCGCGGGGGGAGGCACGGATCTCGCGGTGAAAAGTCGTCTCCGGGAAGGACGACTAGTCGCTGGCAGATGCTGCTGCTGCTGCTGCTGCTGGTGCGTCGTGCGCGCGCGCGTCTCGGGCTCGGAAACCCCGCGTCGTTTCCGCGTTAACACCGCGCGCCGATTGCCCGAATCATTTCGCAATCGATTGGCCCTGACCTGACAACGATCCGACGCCGTAATAATCTCCTCATTCTGTTCACAGAAACTTGAACAATGCTACTCCTATCCTCCTACTACTGCATCGTGAGTGTACTACTGCACCGCACAGGGGGGTAAAATTAAAGGACGCAGATTAATTGTAATTAGCCTGAAGAATAAGGAATAATGCATGTGTCATTTCCTTTCTTTTCCTGAGTAGAAACGTGCATGTTGCTCGGAGTTGTCAATGTCAACTCATCTCCGAGAGAAATGGAAAACCAGAAACCAAGCGGCCGGCGAGACTGTATCTCTCCGACCGAACTTGCAATCATGCATTGCACGTTATAGATGCATACTCCTACTACTTCTTAGATAGGGATAAGTGACAGAGTCACAGAGAGAGAAAATTTTGAACCCATACAAACTTCACTATAGCTATCATTTGCTATA